GAATATGATGAGTATGTCGAACTACATTTAAGACATTTTTATGTATTCATGATTACAATTGGTTTCATATGTAATGAGGAGCTTCAAGTGCCAAAAAATAATTTGATTTTTTTCTTTTTCGTTTGGTCAGAGACAGAAGTGTTAGTGAAATTCTAATCTGCAGTGTAATCTCTGTTCAGTGTAATATAATCCAGTTAATGTTGGTCCAGTCTAATCAGTTCAAATTTTGAACCAAATTCCAATCCAAATTCCTTTAAAACTCTGAATCAGCACTTTAAAGAAATGCCGTATGAGAATGGACAAATCAGCTGTGGCGCATGTTTAGGGGCGTAAACCAGATATAACTCTGGTTTTTAGCCACCATCCAGCAGAATGATGCCCTTGGTGGTGAATCATATCACCAACCTCATAAACCCACTCAAGTTTGCACATGTGAAATATGTTGTTCAATTGCCACGAAGGTCAGTGTTTGTCTGCTATTTACCAAGCAGGTTCTGACAAAAATGCTTGACTATGCAGGCCAACTCACCACTACTTGAGTGTAGACCTTCTTCGCAAACTCTAAGTCCCGAAAGCGTGACTCCACAGGAAAGGTGTATGTGTTGAGCCACTGCAGCAGAGGCATATCCAGGGCTGTGCCCGCGTAGCTGTACTGGGATGCATGGATGTGCGTGTCTACCATTCCAGGCATAAAGAACTCGCTGAAAGATGCAAAATATGAGCAAGCTAATATGAGCAAAATTAATAATTCCTCTTATTGCTACATTTCTTTAAATTTTTTTTATCTATGGAGCCAACTTTGTTAACTATCCTGAATAGTTTTGCATCACAAGTTATTCACACTTTTACTCACTGTTGTTGCAGCTGCGTCACTCCACATGGGCTAAATCCAAAGTTCTCAGACAGTCTCTGTAAGTCTTTACCTTTCCCAATGAACGCAATCTGAGGGAAAAATATGAGTCAGGCGAGAGTCAAGAGAATCACGCTCATTTTAAAGTAGTTTATGCAGTTTCAGTAAAGCTAATGCAAATACATATAAATATATATTTCTAAACCTTAAACATGTTCATCAATACGCACAAAGAATTGAAAGCTAGTAGGCAGAGTTGTCCTTTCAAAGAGATTTGTACACATATATGGACATACATACACATTCAGCTACATGAACTGGTTGTGACGGAATATATTGATAAAACTAGCCATTAACAAACTGTTAAAATATGAAGAAATAGCTGTCCCTACATTCAGTGAGTACTTCTAAAAATTAGATAATATTGTACATCTTTTCATATTGATGCAATTTGGCAATATACATTTTTTTTTTTAAAAAACTGCTTTGAATTGATTGGTAAAATATTGTTTAAAAACACAACTATTAATGAAGGTTTTCCTTATGAGGTCCTCTAGAGTGTAGAGGACCAAAATAAATAATAGTGGCAGGCTGGATTTGGCCCCCAGGCCTCCAGTTTGACACATTTGCTCCAGATTTTTACTTTGGTTTTAATTAACAATGAAAATTAAAGTGAAATAATCACTTGTGGTAGAACAGGAGCAGGCTGTCTGATTCAGCAGATCTCACTTACAGTTCAGTCGTCTCTTAATTCAATCAATCAATCAATCAATCAATCAATCAATCAAATTTTATTTGTATGGCACATTTAATCAGCAAGGCATTTCAAAGTGCTTTACATCATAACAAACATAAAAACACAAAGTCATGCAACATAGAATAAACAATGCATTGTTCCGTCATTAAAGTTTTTATTGATTACGTTTCAAATACAATTCTAAGCAGATATGTTTTAAGTTGAGATTTAAAGGAAGTCAGGGTTTCTGCTGTTTTACAGTTTTCTGGAAGTTTGTTCCAAATTTTTGGTGCATAGATGCTGAAAGCTGCTTCTCCTCTTAGGTTCTAGTTCAGAACCAGAAGACCTGAGAGGTCTGGAAGGTTGATACAACAACAGCAGATCTTTGATGTATTGTGGTGCTAAACCGTTCAGTGATTTATAAACTAACAACAGTATTTTAAAGTCTATTCTTTGAGCTACAGGGAGCCAGTGGAGGGACTTTAAAACTGGTGTTATGTCTTTATCTTCCCGGTTCTAGTGAGAACAGGAGCAGCAGCGTTCATGATCAGCTGCAGCTGTTTGATTGATTTGTTGCACAGGCCTCTGAAGACGCTGTTACAATAATCAGTGCGACTAAAGATAAACGCATGGATGAGTTTCTCTAGAGCTGGCTGAGACATTTGTCCTCTAATCCTGGAGATGTAATTGTTTTTCTTTCTGTTTCGGTGTGACTCTTCAACTTGTTTGTACACGTTTGCTTCCTATCAACCCTAATTCTATTCTATTCTATTGTGTTCTATTCTATTCTATTGTGTTCTATTCTATTCTATTGTGCCTCGGTGGAAGATTTATCAAAAAACTTTTCAACAATTAATAAATAGGCCTACCTGTTTTGGGTAGGTCTTGAGACTCAACCAGTAATAAACCAGTTACTACACATGATTTAGATATTTCAGAGCTCTCATTGTATCTCATTGCACCGAGAGGAACTGTCAAGAGTTCATCTCGGCGATTTTTACATGACAAGCATGTTTCACCTCAGCTCTGAAGAGCAAAGCTGTTTTTCTTTTAACAGTGAGTATTTTACATTTTGCTTAAACTTGAAATCGAATACATTTCAAACAGCAGACATAATAAATATGATTTCGAGACGTATTAAAAGTTTCAAAAACCTTCCCCTCTGAGTCCACTCCAAGAAGCGCATCCTCCAGGATCTGCAGCGGTTCCTCAGGGGTCGAGTGGACAAATGTTCCCCTGCAAACGAAACGAATATCAGCGCCAGACTTCGCAGACGTTTCCATGTTTCCACCAGCGCAGCGCAAAAACCTGCAGACAGAGCGGCGACGAAGGCCACCTGCCGCAAAAATCGACTTTTATAGTCTGCCCTCACAAGCCGCCCCGGAGGAGGCGCTCCTCATTCACCTGACTGTAGAGATTATCCGCAGCCAATCAGAAGACAGCGCGGAGGCCTGCGTGGGTGTGGGCGCGTGCGTGTGTACCAGCAGGAGTTCGTTGTTCGTCAGCGAGTGTCATAAGTGTGGACTTGCAAATGTTTCTGTTTTTAGTTGTGCAAGTTGGGGAAAAAGTAACTTGCGTAGATCTGCACAAAATTGCTCAAACCCATGACAGATTTAGATGTAAAGTAATATTCTAGTTTTATCAGCATGCAAAGTAAAATTAAACAATATGGAGATCGGGTTCTTTTTTCCCCCCACAAAAGCCACTATATGCCGCATGGTTGCAGCAGTTCCTGCAGGATAAACAGATAAATCAAAATGTTCAAGCCAAATGTACAGTGGATATGCTGCACAACGCATGCTTTTCAATGCCCTCTACAAACAATTATTGTCTGTTAGTGTGCAATGCTATTCTTCAGAGAAACAGAATATTTGGGTTTCGTGTACCTGAGCCATATTAAATCAAAAATAACAAAACTAAATGCTCGAAATGTAACCAGCTGTCAGGAGTGAATCAACACAACAAATGTAGCCACTTTTGGTGGAGTTTCAGCTGTTAAGCTGCACCAGATCGCAATGTCTTTAAGAATGACATCTTAACTCATCGACTAAAATGATCAATGCTTGCTCGCTTAACTTCAGGCTTAAAGTTGGCGTGGTATGGGAGTTCCCCAGTAAACTTTTCTTTGTCAGTTTTCTTGAGTAAGATTAAGATTTCAGTCATGAGTGTGTCAGAGAACCATGTGAGGACATCAGGCTGTGCGTAAAAGTGCATCCCATGAGATCCATGACTAATGCCGATGTTCGATACGTCCTGATGAGGAAATAACGTTTTGATTTACCAAGCCCACATGATGAATGAGAACATTGTGTTTATTTTTGGTAATGGAAGCATCCATGAAAGATGCCTGAGGGCACTGCGTGTAAGAACAATTACAATTAATATTATTCAGTGAATTAAGTCTATTTCAATTACACGTTGTGTGCCTGGATGAGATCCAAAACTCATAAAAACAACAACAGAAAAAAAAAGTTTTTTTAATCATACAACAACAAACAAATATTGAAATTGGACTACCTCGAGTGTTAACACAAACAATAGAGCCTTGCAAAAGAATTCATATTAGGTTTTGTGTATTTTGTCACATTATAATCACAAACCTCGGTATAATCTAATGAGACCATAAGTGTGTCAGCGGCACAGACTTGCACATAATTTGTGAGGTTGAAAATAAATTTGGCACATATAAAAAAAAAGGCAATTTTCCATTTGTAATCAAATGCTTTCAATGCTTTGCTGCACTCACAGATTGAGATCTTTCAGAGTATGTTTCCATATCTGACAATTTTGCCCATTTTTCTTTACAAAATAGCTCAAACCCAGTCAGATTTAGAGCATCTCTGGACATCCTGTTTGACATTTCACCACAGATTCTCAATTGAATTTAGGACTGGGCTTTGACTGGTCCCATTCTCACTCATGAATATTGATCAAAGCCGTTCCATTGTTAGGGTCTTGGAAGTTTTTTTTGGGAATGTTAACCTTTTCCCAAATGTCAAGTCCTTTGCAGCCTATAACAACCTTTCTTTCAGCTGTTTAACTCTGACCAGCTGTCCTGTCCCCAATTAACTGGCTACACACACCATCATTAGGCAAGATGTACTTTTAAGGATTCATTTCATGACTGAACAAATGCAATGCTCCAACTCAGTTAATAAAATATTAGAGAGATGCAGACTTCCTCCAGTGCACCTTGCACTTCTGGGCTCTATGTGAGGTTCCAGGTCTTAAATATGGTGGCATATATTCCTTGTGGTTTCCGATTTGTTTCTTCTCAAAACTTTGGGACTCAATCCTTGTTTCTCAACACATTTCTTGTGACCCTGACGTTTGTTAGCAACAAAATAATATTTGCTCCATTAAGAACCACTGGATGAACTTGACTTGATTTTGGCAAATGATAACACACCACACTTTTTATTAAAAAAAAAATACTATACTACATTCTTTCAATTTCACAATTATGCATTAATCTTTATTGTCCTGTGACATAAAATCAAAGGAAGGTGATATGGCAATCAACAGATTATATGTTATGAAGGAACTGTATGGCAAATGTAGGAAAGAAATACTGAAAAAAATGTTTTAGCTTTGTATTATAATTTCTTATAGAAAACTATTTGCTAAAAAAAAAAAATTGTGGCCAGAAAGTAAATCAAACTTCAAAACAAAACAGGGTCTTGAATTTTGTCATTTCACTGGTATTAGAAAATTTAAGTAAAACTAAACAATGTTTTAATAAAAAAAAAGGAAATACTGAAAAGATGAATGTAAATTTCAGCCTGTTTTCCTGCAACAATCAGCTTCTTTCTGTCGTGTGTTGCTCACAGCTTGTTAGAAGCCATGACAAAAACCTCACTAAGTTTATTTATTGAAAAAAAAAAAAAACATTCATCTTTAACATTTAGCAAAGACACGTCTGGAAAAATGTCATATTTTTTTGGATAAATGATTCTGTTTCAAGTCTCTGTCCGAATCATCTTGTCCATCCTCAAGGTTGTCAAAATCATCATCATCATCATCATTATTATTGTCATCAGAGTCAAAATCCTCTTCTTCTTCTTTCCCTCGTCCTTTCTTTTTCTCTTCGTCTTCTTGTTCCTTCTGGTCTAAGTGTGAGTTCACCCTAAACAGGGACAGAAAAGTTAATCTCTTTGTTTTGCTTACATGCAGCAGAAAATAAGGACTGGGAATTAAACACAAAACAAAACAAAAAAAATCTGGAAAATACTGAAGAAAAAAAAATTCTAAATTTTGGAAACAATATTTTTGTAGGAATTGAAATTAAGATGCACGTATGCAACTACGAGCCACTTTGATTCAGTCACCTTCTCACAATCAGCGTTAATGTGTCTTATTGTCCAGAAGATGGCAGCATTAAGGTGAAATTGTTTTGCATGTTACCATGCGTCTCTGTTGTGAGGGCAAAGGCTAAAAAAAGGACTTTCCTGTCTTCAGAGCAGACTGTCTTGTTATTGTTTTTTTTTTTTTAAAAAGAATTTAAGTCAGATCAAAACACAGAAAGACTTTATCCACTCACGGAATAATGATTTCTTCTTTCTTCCCACACTTGCAACAGATCTCAAGCAGAAGCGAACAGGGCTTACAAACAATGTGATATGCATCCCTTACTGTCTTTTGAGAGCATTTGACACTGTAAAAAACAAAAACAAAATCTTATCAATTAATTTTGAAGTTAAAAAATATTTTCAAATTTAGACGGTTAACAATGTGGAATCAGCACGCTTTAGAAAACAGTCCCACTTTAGAAATTGAATTTACGAATAGAAAAGGAAAAGGTTATTGATCATTAACACACATGCTTATGGATCCTTCCAGTAGTTAATGGGCTTCAACACTTTTCTTAAGAAAAGGCAGATCAGCTAAACATCTTCACCAAAATCAAAATTTAACATGAAAATAATAATAATAATTTTTAGCGTAGCTTTATTAATAGTGGGTGAGTCCAGATTGCTACTAGTATAATTGTCACACAAAACAATCCTTACGACCATTTAAACGATTCTGAGAAATCAAAGAGGGGCCTAAAAATACATACTCACCACTTTTTGGGTTGTGTTAGTGGTTTGTATTTGTTGTACTTGACTTTCCACTCGAGAACACCTTTACAGTGTTGACAGAGTCCATCATGGATCTTTGAATTCGCCTTCTGTAATTAAAAATCATGAACGAGACAATGTGGGGATATTAGAATGAGATCTAGGAATGCATAGTCCTAATCTATATATACGTATTCTAACAACTTGTTCTTTTTTGGGGTGAAATTACTGCACAATTACTGCGGTCCTTTGTTGGTTTCTGATTAGTCCTGGACTTCTGTGTTTCCCTTCCAAAACTAGTTGTGGTGTGTTTTATTTTCTTGTTGGAACACCAGACTGACACACTTAAGAGGACATAAAATCGGTTCAAATAATCAGGAAGTCTATGCCTATCACAAACCAGAAACTAATGAGGTACCAGTAGTGTGTTTAGACTTAAAATACTGGACCAACTGGGAAGCATGGTGATGGTAGCATAATGCTAAGGGCTAGTTTCTAGATAGAGGAGCTCACTTTCCATTCAAATGGATCAAATAAATAAGGCAACTGAATTGGAATTGATGTGGAGGACATGATGTGGTTTATTTATTTTCAGGACATCAGGCACTCAAAGCAATCCAACGTTAGAAGGTTACTGACGTACCTTCACCTGTGCAGTCGCTCCGTACTTGTCGTTTTTGAAGGCGGTGCTGTTTTGATGCTTCTGAGCTCGTGAGCGAGACACGTTTCCTTTCTGGGAGCTCATTTTATTTCCTCTTTAGCTAAACTATGTTGTTTTTGGTTTGAAAAATCCGACAAGCATGCCAGCGAAGGAGAGGCTTAACCCGGAAGCAGTAGGAAGTACGTCACTAAAAGTTCTGGGGTCAAAACACTGACCATTTTTATTAAAGATATAAAGACAAACAATGTAGCCTGTGGTTTTGCTGCACTAGTAAATAACGTTGCCTTTATTTGTGATTTAAACTTTGGTGTGACAGGAAGCGTTCTCAATGACGTCACCCGCTTGGTTGCAACATAGTTGCACAGTGAACGGCCCGGTGGATGCGGATTGAGCTTTTTGTCTCAGTAGTAATTTCTGATTGGCTGAACTAAACGTCAATAAAAACGTCCCGCTGTCGCACATAGATGTAGAAGAGTAGACACGGGCATTAGTCCCACGGCCTGTAGAAATAAAAATACGTCAGTGCGGGCGCCATGTTGTGAGTGGCAAGCCTGTTCTTTGAAATACCTTTTATTATTATTATTATTATTATTATTATTATTATTATTATTTCACTGGTCACGGTGACACATTTTTTCATACACTAATATTAATTTTAGAACTAATAATGGTGTTTTTTAATATTATGTGAAATAAAACACAAAACAAATAAATTAAGCAGTATAAAACTGTGTACTTAATGTATTTGAGTTAATTAACTCACCACTAAATTAATCTGAAAAGAAAAAAAGTCTGATATTTTATATTATTTTCAATGACTACTAGTGACTTCAAAGTATCTAAATCATCTCTTGCGTTGTAAGGACAGCTTCCACAGGCCAGTAGAGTTAAAAGCACCTGGATGCAATTAAAGTTGAAAGCACCTGGATGCAATTAAACCTGATTAATTTGGAAGATTGGGGATTGGCCAATACTTAAATGTTTTGAACATGACTGTTAACTGTTAACTGTACTCCAGTGGCATCTCAGTCACCAGTTGATTGAAAGGTTGTGAAACGGACGCACATCATCAGTGGCCAATTTCTGCTGACATTTACCATCTTTTATCAATCACACAAGTCTTGTTTTGTGCGTGCACTACTCACAATGTCATGTACAACATGCTCTGTGTTCAAAAACTCCAACAAAAGTGCTTTCATGTGTCCTGAAACACCTAAAACAGCCTCTCAAAAGTACCTCACCCCCACCGAAGAAGCATCTTTTGACTGTGCCACTCACAATATGGGGGCGGCGTTAAACGCTGGCGTTCGTCTAAACTGCTTTGCGTCTATGTTGCCACTCTGCGGCGTCGTGCAGGCCCTGCCCAACATTTCCCCGAACAGCCTACAAATGGTGGCCTGGCTTCAGCAAGCTCCTCGCCATTGGTCCTCGCAGCTGTCGCCCCCGACGCCCCGCCCTCCTCACAGGCGAAGTGATAACCAGAACGAAAGCAGAGATGTGTCCGAGCCAAGTGATACAGCTGTGAACTGTGTCGTGAGTCGTTTCCGATTTGTTTTTCCGGATTTTCAGACCAATTAGTGTTTTGTTTTATCCTCTTCTTGTTTTTAAACCGATGTCCTCGTTGAGGGTTTTTGTCTACTTGGACAGCATGAATGAAGCAGCCTTGTTATAATTCAAGACCATATGCTGAGAGAAAAGCGAGGTGGGGAGAAAGAAACAAACAACAGTAGAGAAAGAGGGGAAAAAAAGGAAAAGGGCTGCTTGGAGCAGGAGGACGAAAGCGGCTTGCTTCCGGACCTGCGAGGGACATCGACGCGCTCAACGTGACATTGATAACTGATAGAGGAGATAAAACCGAGGATAATCTGCGGCCGGGGACAGCCCCGACAATCTGCTGGCGTCGAAAAGGAGATAAATAAATTAGTTTCCGTGGTGTGAATAAAACGCTACACGGTGGCGACGCGGTCTCCTGGAAGAAAAACAAAGAAAAGCCCACGGGTTCAGGTAACGTTGGCATAATCTCTTCGTTTTAAAGGAAACAAACAAACAAACAAAAAAAAATTCCTCCAAAGCTGACCAGATGCAACCCGGATGGAGAAGGACTGTGGGACGCGGACAGGCTTCCCACAGTCCTTTGGGCTCCCGTGGGGAAGCCACTTCAGCGAGATGCTGAGGAAAACGTCGTGCAGATTTAATAGGGGACATTTTATAATCACAAGTGGCTTCAAAGAGTCAAGAGCGTCTCTGGCGCTGCCACTTGTTTATAGGAACAGTTTCGGCAGGCTAGCTTATTAAGAAGAGTTGAAACCACATGGGTGCAATTAAAACTGAATTAGCTTCAACATCAAATGTGCTTTTTTTTTTTTTTTCCAAATAAGCGATGCTCGCATTGAAGCATCAGAACAGACACATGGAGGAATGACAGAATCATAAATTCTGATTAAAGCGCCACATACAGACCACTGTCTACATCTGGGTTGGAAATCTAAGCATTTCCTGTTCTTTTATTTATTTATTTTTTTGGTTTAGCTAAATGGATTACATCGCTGCCAGGCATTTTTTTTAGAGTGCATTCTTTTATTTCTTTTATTTATTTATTTTTAACCAGAGTAAAAGTCACATGTCTTTCATTCTTTCCAGCAGGGCCACTAAAGCGTGTAAAATGAGGAGAAATATCTGGGGAACATGCCAGTAGAGCCTTCTTACTGAAAATAAACTATCACACTGATTACTTTATTATTATAATTATTATTTTGTGTGTCTGGGTTTGCCTGAAATAGTTTTTTTTCCCCAATTCTGCGATAGTTCTTAACTTTATGGCACATTTTATTGTATTCCAAGAAAGTATCTGCTGCAGCAGCAGCAAAAACTCAAATAAACCTTCCTGTGGTCATGATGTTAACCAAAAGTTAAGTTAGCAGTGCAGAATATCAGGGAAACATGTAATTGCAATGCTATTGCTAAATATATAAAATTTCCTTATTGATGTCGATAACCCCGTCAAGATTTCCCTCAGAAAACCTGCTAAGCCCGGTGGTTGGGTGCTAGGGCAGTCATTCATCCAGCGATCTGTTGTCTTTTTGTTTTTGAGCAAAAAAATTTTTTAAGTTGACAGGAAATTTATAAATATCACTTGATTGGAAGACTGATACCTGAGCACCAACTCTAAAGTCTTAAAAAATGCAAAAAAAAAAAGAAAAAAAAAGACTTGCATAAATAAGCGATGTTTAGCCTGGAAGGAGCACAATAAAGCCCGGTCTCTAAAGCCAGGCTTATAATTGACTGGGGAAAACCCTGCCAGTTTTTGTGGACCCTTTTTTTTTTCCATTATTGCAATTTTCTCATAACTTGTTTGTACTAGTGTCTTCTTAGCCACTAAAAATATACATCACGTGGGATCAACACGGCTAGTTGCAGACAAGACCAACAAATGGTGAACATATGTTATTAGAATGCAGAATCTGAAATGTAGCGATTAAAATGTGATATTTTCAAAGATATTGCATCCACACTGTTATTTGTGGTTGGGACCTTGCAGACATTGAAAATGGAATGATGATTGTTTCCCAATCCTACTACAGCTGATGTTTAGTCCATAGTTCACTGGCATATCATGACCGGCGCAGCATTTGCTATTTCAACCGTTCAGATTTGTCGACGTTCATCTATTTCAGGACAATGACTACAAAATCTATTGTACATCACTGTTATTTCATGATTGAACTTTTGCATATGAAGACTAAGTACTTCTACTTACGTTCAGCTTGAACACCATTCAAACCTTCAATGAAACAAGACCTGGAGCTATTACCCAGTGCTGCAGGCTTTTAATATCTTTAATTGTAATTTTCTTTAAATGTGACTTTCCTTGCTGAAAGCTGATTAGATCACTCACTTTAAAGACAACTATTTCTGCATGTGTGTGTTCCTAAAGTATGCAGTGAATGCAAACAGTTGAATCTGTTTTAGTCATTGTTACTCTCGCTGTCCCATTTTTGAAGGATGAACCATCTAACCTTCAGTGAGCTATGTTGCCTGTTCTGCTGTCCACCGTGCCCCAGCAAGATCGCCTCCAAGCTGGCCTTCCTCCCTCCAGAGCCCACCTACAGCCTCATGTGCGACGAAAGCGGCAGCAGATGGACGCTGCACCTCTCGGAGCGGGCTGACTGGCAGTACTCCACACGAGAAAAGGACGCCATCGAGTGTTTTATGACGCGCACCTCCAGAGGGAACCGCATTGCCTGCATGTTTGTGCGCTGCTCACCCAACGCCCGCTACACGCTGTTGTTCTCCCACGGGAATGCAGTGGATCTGGGCCAGATGAGCAGTTTCTACATTGGTCTGGGCTCAAGGATCAACTGTAACGTCTTCTCCTACGACTACTCGGGTTACGGAGCCAGCTCTGGGAAACCTTCGGAGAAAAACCTGTATGCAGATGTGGATGCTGCATGGCATGCACTGCGATCACGGTAAGGATGAGAATGAATGAAAGAGAGGGAAGAAATCCTAAAAAATATATATATATATATATATATATATATATATATATATATATATATATATAAACATACTGTTAATTTGTCGCTAAAGCACAATACCCACAATGCATCTCCAGTTTCATAAACAGATGTACATATTAAGTGGTAACTGTTTATCTTTCATAAATATGCATTGCAACAAAATTAACACTGAGTCGAAAGGGAAGTGGCAGATGCAGCTGAAACCAAATATTTGCCAACAGCATAGAGACAAAAACGTTTTGTTTTCTAAATTCAACAACAATGAGGAACGGACTTCAAAGTCAGAGGTGTGCATGTTCCATGTCCTTATTTGGTAAGAGTTATCCTGCATGACTTTTGATCATTTTGTGTATCCAAGTTTCTCTCAATACTTTTCTGCAATTCTGGCCCATTCAGACGTAAACTAGTTTGTACCTAATTTGAGAGTAAAATCTTTTTTTGTTGTTCAATTGGAAGGTTCATGTTTGCATAAGCTGAAACTTTCTGTTTGATGTCTATGGATATTGCTTCAGTATTTCCACATATGGTTCCAACCTCATGATGCCATTGCTTTTTTTAAAAAATTTAATTCACCAGTCTCTTGCAAAACAAAACCAACAACTATCACAATGCAGTTCACCATATTGGAATGGAACGATGT